CCCTTGAAGTTCCGGTGATGGGCGCGGTCGTGCTTGATGACCTCGTGATCATCAGGCTCCTGGAAGAGATATGTTTCCTGAAGGTAAGCAGCCATGAAGATCAGGAGGCGATAAAATGTTAATAATTTAAGAATTCGACTGAGTTATAATGGATTAAATTAAATATTTATTTAACATGTGGAGGAGCGAAAGAAGCAAGGAATGACTGGTTGAGAGAGAGAGAGAGGATGGAATTGGGAGTGTTTCAGAAATGGATAGTAGTAGTTGAGTATTCCGGAGAGAGTTGGAAGTGTAAACTCTGGAAGGATTATAATCGGGAAGAACGCACCAGCATCAAGTCTGAGTGGAATTGAAGGGTGTGGAGGCGTGTGCTCATCCACTTCCACTTGGACACTCACAGTCACTCTCCTGCTTATAAACATCAGCGCGCCGCTTTCATCGCATGGCTAGTGAAGCTCTTTCGACGAAAGACACCTTCAGAGTTGATTGATTGCATCGCGCAGGCGTTTCTGCTAGCCATATGATCAGTAGTTTGAACATTTGGCGCTCTTGATGTATCAACACAAGTTGCGTCCGGCAGCAACCCACCTCTTGTTGAGCCCGTCATACTCATCTCAGCCTCCCCGCGGCTCCGATCACCGGGGCCGCCAACCGATCCGGCTTCCTGGCCGCCGGCGTGGATGATCAAGCGTCATGAATGGTCCGAGTGCCCAAGACCAAAGCTCGGAGGTGCTATTCCTGGAGTGGAGTACTGACCACTGACCAGGTGACCAGCCATCACAGGCTAAATTCATATTGCCCATGTCGAGCACCGTTGCGTGATACAATCCAATTTCCAATGATGTGAATTGTTCCTTCTTGATCATGGGGAGAGAGTTGTTGTTCATTACGGGTTTAGTTCCTCATGAAAATCCTGGGAGAAGACGGCCGTGCCATCTCCATCATAACATAAAAACAAAAGGGCTCGTCCCCCTCTCCCCGATTTAAGCGAAGAGAACTTCTCTCCACTGGTGGGACAGAAACAAAGGAATTATTCAGGATGAAGCTACTCTACTCACTCTGTCATCTCGGCCTCTTCCTTTCCTCTGCCGTCCTAGCTTCCGAGATCCTGCATGCTGGCGAGCAACTCAACGAAAACAATTTTGACTCTTTGACCAAAGAAGGACTATGGTCAGCTTGCTCCGTGGAGAGCACTTCACGAGTCCCCCATACCCTAGCTAACCCAAATTTCTTATCTCTTTCACAGGTTTCTGGAGCTCTACTCGTGCGTAATAGCAACCCCTCCTTGAATCCAGAACTCACTGCTGGAGATTGACTCAATCCCTCCTTTGTCGCCGTAATGATGCCTCCTTCATGTGTAGTCCATTCTGCGCGGCCTGCAAGCGCTTCGCGCCATCATGGATAGAGTGCGTCGCACCCACAGCGCTCATTGTATGGACGCAGAACTGCTCATATCAAGATGCCCCCTTTCCTACTTTCCCTCTTTGCTGCACAGACTGGTTGAGAAGATGAAGCCCAACGAAGTCCAGGGCTTGAAGATGGGCCAGGTGGATTGTATCGCTCAGGGGGACCTTTGCGCCCGATTGGATGTCCACTCCTATCCGACCATGCAGCTGTTTTACAACGGGAAAGCGGAGGAAAGCTACAGTTTAGTCACCATCTTCACATCAGATAATCACAACAGTACTAGAAGCTGAAGCTGCTCCGACGGTGCTAACTTGTCAGGCGGCGAGAAGAGTGTCGAGGCGATCCAGAAGTATTTGGAAGACAAGGTTGAGGCCTACCGGTCCCTTTCTGAGCCGGCAAAGCAGCATGTCCCCTTCGGCCACCACTCCGGTTCCATGCCGTCACCAGACACCTACGCGTTCGACTATCCGGTCCCGCAAGCCAGCCCACCTCCGGAGTCTGAGGACCCCATCCTGCAGCCTATCCCCGCCACCCCCGACGACACCCCCATCGACCTGCCTAATCCGCTCGGCTATGTCATCAGGCTTCACGGCGACAACTTCGACTCCTACACTGACCCTGCCCAAAATCCCTTCCCCATCTTTGTTCACTTGTATGCCCTTGCTTTTTCTTCTTTAAACCCATCCTCTTTTTACACCCACAGCTACATTCTTTTTATCACGTTAGCTCATTCTGGCCGCGCGCTTTTACCCTTCCATTCTATTCAGCCATGCCGCCTGGTGTAAAGAATGTCGCACGCTGGCCCCAGGTCAGTCTTTCCTCCGCCGTCACCTGGCTTGATGAAATCTCTCAGAGATTGACTGAATGAAACGCAAAATCGGATCCCCGTAATCCATTCTCTCCCTCTTCACAGTTTGGGAGAAAACTGCAAATCTGTTGAAGAACCAGGTGAATGTGGGCGAGATCGATTGCGACGTCAAATGGAACAAGAAAATTTGTAAAAGAGAGCATATTGTCGAGTTTCCCACATTCATCATGTGAGCATTCTTCTCCTCTTCCTTTAGTACCAGCGGTCTGTGGTTCGAACACAGCTCTTGGATGCTTTTCTCATACTCAACAAAAAAAAAACCCAAAAACAGCTACCACGAAGGAACCAAGCTCGCGTACTCAGGGCCCAAGGTGCCCTCTTCCATGGCCGACTTCATCCTCCACACCGTCGCAACGTGAGTACCGTCTCTTTCAGATATTCCTTGCCAAGATGTTAACGTGGGGTTTGGCATTAGCCCGGGCACGCATGAGATCACTATGGCCGAGTTCGATGAAGCGATCAAAAAGAAAGACATCTTTTTCCTCTTCCTTCATTCCAGTCGGACACCCATATCCATTGTGGTGAGCCTCCTTTCCCCTTCCCAAAAACATATTAATACAAGCAGGACAAGAGGGCCAATGGAGCCTTGAAATGTGTCCAGAACTCTGTGCAAACGGTTGGAAAAGGATTGTTAGGCTCGGCGGTGATCCATAAGTCGGACCACCAAGACATCTACTCGCGATTGGGATTGTCTCATTACTATGCGTACCTATTAGTGTTCAAGGAGCACGATGCGAACCCATGGGCGTCTGTGAAGCTAGAGGAGGAGTCGCCCAAGGTGGAGGCGAATCCGACGTTGCGACACCGGCGGATGACGTTGTTTATTCGGCACTGGATCGCGGTGCACTCGATCCCGGTGTTCGACGAGTTGGACCAATTGAATTACCATCGGGTGTTCAACTCTGGGGTTAAGAAGCTGGTTGTGCTCGCCTGTCTTAGCGGCATCGTGCCCAGCCCCGACGGCATCGATCTTGTTCGCTCCAATCCCCGCTCCGTGCAGCTCAAGAACGAGATGAAGTCCTGGGCCCTCCAGTGGCTCAAGAGCCAGCAGGCCAGGGCCGCCGACGACATCATCGTTGACTGGGTCTGGGTCAACAGCGAGGTCTGGTCAGAATGGCTTTATGTGCGTCCTTTCTCCTACCCCTCCCCCATCATGCTGCTCTTTTCTGACGAGAGACACTTTGGCGCATGTCAGAACGCCTATGGAGTCAATCTTCCTCGGCCGACGGAGGACCCGAGGGAATCTAGCATGATCCTGATCATTGACGCGCAGCACCACCGGTACTACGACACCCAGCCTGATGGACACGACATTGAGTTCTCCGCCCCCTCCGTCTTCCAAACACTTCTCGCCGTCGAGATGCGTAAGATTTCGGGCAAAATGACCGGCACTCTTTGGAGCCGAATGTCCTGGGTTAGTCCTCTCTTTTCCCACCCTGTTGAATGTACTCTCACCTCTTATACCAACATATGCCCCGATTGCAGCGCTTCCAACAATTCAAGGCGTCTATTAGCGTGAGTTTTGTCTGCCTGAGAATGCGGGGAGTGTAGAGTAGAGACTGATGGCGAGACATATCCCGCGCACCAAAAAACCCCCCGTAGCCGATATTTCGACCGCAATGGCTATTGCTATGGGTAGTAATACTGGGGATGGTAGGGTATGCCCTGAAGAGCAGCAGGCGGGGCAACGGGGCTGTCGGGCTGTACAGTCCGATGATCTCGCCCCAGATGGCCAAGTCCTTCCAGCGCGGCCTCTCTTCCCCCGATTCCTTCAATCCTAAGTCTTCTCCCACTATAGGCTCCGTCTTCGGCCTTGCTTCCAACGTCCCTTGCAAGGCCGATTGATCTTCTTTCCTCTTAGATTGATCCTCTTCCCCTCCCTTAGATACATCTCCTTCCCCCTTTCTTATTCTCGCCTTTTTTCTTGTCGTTTACCCTGTGGATCGCTACGCTTTGCTCCTTCAAATAGTCTTCTTTTTTTTTTTCTCTCTTTTTTTTTGTCTGTTCTTTTTCCTGATTCCTTTTTTTTTTGTCTCGTGAACTCATCTTTCAATCCCCTTTTTTTTTTTTTTTTTTTTTTTTTGCCGCTGAGTTTGCGTGTATATCTACGCGCGGAATCGGGGGTGAAAGAAATGTGTAAACTACTTACACAAGGCATAAGCTCTATAGGAGGAGCGGGGAGTTTTCTCTTTGTGCCGCATGAGAGACCTGATGGGAACATGAGCCGCGCGTCAATACAGTCAACACGAAAAAGCATGCGGTTTGGCAAGGGAGCAATATAGGGGCGAAATTTTCCTCTCTCAGCAGACTTCAGCCACCAAGAGCGGTCCGAGCATGGCGCATAGGCCGGAGCAGAGCTTGACGGCTACGACCCCCCGCGGCAGCAATGGAGGCCAGCCTGGTCCTATGTGACGGGCGGCCTCCGGGGCAGTGCTCTAGTGCGAGCCCATTGGTGCCGGTGCCAGAACCTGAATCCGAGTGACAAAAATGACTGGTACGGCTCCATGAGTGTGGTCTTCTGATGGCTAGCATCGGTCTCCGTAGCCCCTCAATGTTCATGAGGACCAGTAGGAGCCGATGAGCTTGAAGACTATCCAGAGCCGATCACTCATCAAGCCCACATTGAAAGTGGAAAAAGTACATGCAGGCCGCGGATCTGTCTGGGAAAAAGTCAGTACCATCGCAAAAGCACTCAAATGAGATTCACAATCAAGTTGAAAAAGATTGACTCTGGCCGGGCTCGAACCGACGACAACATGCGGCCAACTGACGTGTTAAGCATGTGCTCTACCAACTGAGCTACAGTGCCCACAAAATTCCTTGATGTATCTCCCCCTCACCGGCATATATATTATTATCATAGCATTGGAATTTTATGTATCATACTCCCATTACTGACCAAGTCAAGCTGTTTTTTTATTTTCTGTTGTGGGAGGAAGAAGAAAGATCAGGGGTCTGGGGTTCTGGAGTTCTGGGCCTGAGGGAAAGGATTGGATCTCCCTCCTTGAGGACTATGAGTGTGATGTTCATGACATGTAAATGATATTCTCTGTAAATATAAGAGGCCCTGCTATGGCTCATAACACTTTTAGCATCCTTCCAATATGAATAAGTCAGATCTTCATTTCACCTTCCCAAAAAGTCTTATATATATTTTGCTCATGCAATTTTTCTTGAAATTATAATTCAATTTCAAAATATTGTGAAGGATCATAATTAAAACTATGTGATTCATGCTCAAGGACTTATGTTTTGTCTTCAAATGATCATAAATTGTATAAGCTATGGTCCATTTTATGACCTCAATATTTTTTTTATTTTATGATTGCATTTAGAATGTGGATAAAAGACTTACTAGTGAGCCTCCATCAATTTATCAATCCAAGTCCATTCAACAGGGGACCATTTTTGGCACTTGCATGGCAAGTGCCATTGCAGAGGTGTTCCCATAGGTTAGGTTGGAAGTGTATTGAATTTTGGTTGTATCAAGCCTGTATGTATGAATGCTGAACTCATAGTGGTCCGAAGAGCAAGACCTCACATCGAACGTTACACCATGTGCTCGGCAACCTTCAGAGGCCCTTATATTATAGCGCTGGCCGTCTAGCTTCAAACTAGGAACCCCGCATAGAAGCATGTGCACTAGGGATACCCCCGGGCATAAAGGGCAACATGATACCTCGATCTGCTCCGTGCTCGCATTATCTCGTATTAGGCAGTACTGCCTAAGGTCAGCATCTTGTGACTTCACACAACAGTTGACCCTGCGTAAGGGGAGGAGGGCAGTGTTCTGGAAGTAAATGGTGTGTTTTTATGACATATGTTTACAACTTATTTTGAATTCAAGGTGATCCCTCATTGAACATTATCATGTGTTATGATCCTGTAACCCCCTCTGGGACTCGCCAGGGGTTTCCCAACTGGGGGATT